TCCTGCTAACCCCAGGGGCTACCATTCCACTGTGGGGCCTCTCATTCCAGTCCCAGAACACTCCAGTAACCCCCAGGAGCCATCTAGTGATGAACAATAGACTGTGATTAGATAACTGAAAAAAGACAAAGTGGACAGCTCCCCTAATGCTAACTTGAAAGCAGAGGTGCAGCAGTTCTAAACCACATGGGATAACAGCGGCACCAAGCTGATTCTAAAATGCATATGTAGATTCCAAAGTCATTCCACTGGCTACCAATAGCGTTCCGGATTCACTTCAAGGTGCTGTTTTTGAACTTTAAAGCCCTTTATGGTCAAGGGCCTGCCTACCTGAGGGACCGCCTTTCCCCGTATGTCCCCCAGAGAGCACTGCGATCTGGAACACAAAACCACCTGGCCCCCCCTGGGCCTAGGGACGCCGGGTTGGCAGCAACTAGGACCAGGGCGTTCTCCCTGGTGGTGCCGACGCTCTGGAATGAGCTCCCCAGTGAGATCAGAGCACTGCAGGACCTCCAGCAATTCCACAGGGCTGTGAAAATGGAGCTTTTTCGCTGGGCGTTTTTGTAAGAATAGATTTTATAGGCTGCGCTGCACTTGCACTTTGTTATACGATACCGCCACATGTAATGGTTTTAACCGTATTTATTGAATTTTATTGTATTTTATCTATGTATTTGCTGGTTTTAGAACTGTATGTAAGCCGCCCTGAGCTGCTTCGGCAGAAGGGTGGGATAGAAATCTAATGAATAAATAAATAAATAAATTTCTGATGCCAATGACTTTGTACTTTATCCTGGTGAGTAACCCATGGAATATGCATATACAATTAGGTACATGGTTCTAGGAATAGCAGAAATGTCTTCAGTGTTTAGGGGAAATATGTTTGCTGGCATAACATGCACTTTCACCTTCTAGTATGCAGACAAGAATGCAAAAGTAAAGGGTTAATCAACCTTAACTTACAATAGTCTCCAGTGCCTAAGGATTACTTCACATATTACATAAAAGATGAGATCTCACTAATTTAGAACCTCCGATCTGGCACATATCATTCTCCCCTCCTCCATTTTATTCTCACAATAACCCTGTGAGTTAGGTTAGGCTGAGAGAGCGTGGCAGGCCCAAAGTCACCCAGCAAGATTCGTGGCAGCATGGAGATTTGAACCTGACAGTCTCGGATCTCCAAAATTCTACGGAATGTTTCTACGGTGGCCACAGAAATACATATCTAAAAATGCATACCCAATCATGGGCCAAGATTGTGATTAGATAACTGGGGTGGCAACCATGGGGTGGCAACATGTTACTAGGATTCAAGCCTTGGCTGCAGGTACATTACCATGCAGTGATCTACTTATGACATTTCAGAAATAAAGCAGATTTTTTTCCCCTTTCCCTTGACTAATGAGACAACATATGAGATGAGATCAGAAAAAGGCCTCCATGTCACAGGTTTGTATTGGCCTGACACTTGAGCCCTGCTGCATTCAAGAGCTGTAATGGCTTCTGGGCATGTTAACTGTGTTTTTAGACATCTTGCTCCTGTGGGTATATGGTGTGGATACACAGGAATTTTCTTTTCTGCAAGTATGTGAAGGGGCACTTGGGAGAGAGAAATATACATTTCAGACATCTGATCTAAGATAATGCAATATCCATTAATTTATCCTATTTGCTTTTGAAATCAAAGCCCTTTACTCAAGCAACTGCTACCAAAAGTGTGTGTCTTACATTTGAGTAGTTAGACTTTCTTCTTTCCCCTCTGATTGCCTCTAGAGCTGCTATTTACCCCATTAGAAGAAACATACAGGTTAGATAAGACAGCCTTTATGTTTCCTCCAGTAGGGCAAAATAGCAATTCAGAAGGGAGGGCATTTGAGGCATTTGGCCCAAATCTGAATGGGACCTTCTCTAGCTGCTATTTACCAGTAAAGTGACTGGAAGAGCCAATAATGAATAGGCTGTCCTCTAGTTTGGCTTTTAGTCTCATCTATATTTGCATCTGCAGTCTTATAAAATCTGTAATTTCAACTTTCAGTGGTGATTTGTTTGTAAAGTACATCTTTCTACTTATTCTCCTTACTGGGATAAACAAGATTAGGTCTCTAAGCTAATTTCATCATATGGTGGGCCCATCTTGCGAATGTACTGCCTGCTCTTCTCTGTACTCCTATCCACACCCTTATAATCGGTAATGCAACTTAAACTGCACCATATCAGTTTTCATTGATACCAGTCATCTATCATGCTGCCTCACAGTTCTAAATTACAGCTGTATAACTGTAGCGCTAATATTGGAACTGTGAGCAAATGCACTAGTTGCTCAGAATCTTGCCGCAACACAATTTTTGGGGGGTGGGGGGGTTGACATGCAAACGTTATTACAATCCGGATTGCGAGTATCATATTTGGAAAAAAAAATCTTACCATATGCTCCTGGCTTGCCCAGCATCAGCATCACAAAAAGAAAGAGCAGCTCAAGGCTCCTGGAGCACATGGCCTGCTGGATAGGTCTTCACTTCATGTTCAAGATGGAAATGATTCTGTTGGAATGGACTGGGGACCATTTAGGCAGCCTCTTAAATGAGGCAGTGAGAGCTCATGAGGTCTGTTGGAAAGGTTTCAGTTCTCTCAAGGGGTTGAAGAGGAAGGGAGACAGAGGAAGGGGTGGAAAGGAGCTCTGACACAAATCAGAGTTGCAGATCAAAGATCTTGCAAGTGGTGGGAGGGCTGCTGTCACCTGTTTGCTGCTCACTTTTGAAACCTCTTGCGAGCAAAACTGAACAGTTTTTCCCCCTTGTGTTTCTTCCACCCTGCAAAGAGGAACTGCTGAATGAAAAGAAGAAATGAAAGCAGAAAAATGTTGGCTCTTTTACAGTGTAAATTATTTAAAAATGTAGAGAGAACTCTTTTTTTAAATAAAAATCGTGAAGCAATGCCTTGTGTTGAAATTTGGGGGGGGAGGGTCATATGCAGATCTAACCATAGAAAGAAAAGGAATAATATGTGTAGAATGATGATGACAGTCGATGGTGTTACAATCCAAGAAGCTCAGATAAAATATATACCGCAGATCAGGAAAGGCACAAATAGGTATAGAAAAAGGCCTGCATGGTTAACAAACAAAGTAATGGAAGCTGTAAAAGGTAAGAAGGATTCCTTTAAGCAGTGGAAAGCTGGTCTCAGAGAGGCTGATAAAAGGGGACACAGGCTGTGGCAAATAAAATGCAAGTCTGTGATCAGGCAGGCAAAAAGGGAATACGTGGAGCATATTGCAAAAAACAAAGACTAACAATAAAACTTTCGTCAAATACATTAGAAGCAGGAAACCAGCCAGGGAGGCAGTGGGGCCCTGAGAAGCTGAATGCATTTTTTGCCTCTGTCTTCACTGTGGAAGATGATAAATGCTTGTCCACTCCAGAACCACTGATTTCAGGAGGGGTGTTGAAAGATCTGAGTCAGACTGAGGTGACGAGAGAGGAGGTCTTACGACTGATAGACAACTTAAAAACTGATAAATCACCAGGCCTGGATTGCATACATCCAAGAGGTCTGAAAGAACTCAAATGTGAACTTGTGAATCTCCAGACAAAAAATATGTAATCTTTCATTAAAATATGCCTCCTGAGGACTGGAAGGTAGCTAACGTCACCCCCATCTTTAGAAAGGGTTCCAGAGGAGATCCGGGAAATTACATGCCAGTCACTCTGACGTCAATACCGGGTAAGTTGGTGGAAACTGTTATTAAGGAGAGAAATAGTAGGCACATTGATGAATAAAAACTATTGAGACAGACTCAGCATGGGTTCTGTAAGGGAAGATCTTGTCTCACTAACCTGTTAGTGTTATTTGAAGGGGTGAACAAACATGTGGACAAAAGGAACCCAAAAGATGTTGTTTACCTTGACTTCCAGAAAGCTTTTGATAAAGTTCTTCATCAAAGGCTCCTAAGTAAGCTCAATAGTCATGGGATAAAAGGACAAGTCCTCTTGTGGATTAAAAACTGGCTAATTAATAGGAAACAGACAGTGAGTATAAATGGACAATTTTCACAGTGGAGGGTGGTAAGCAGTGGGTTACTGAGGGATCAGTACAGGGTCCAATGCTTTTTAATTTGTTCATTAATGATTTGGAGTTGGGACTAAGCAGTGAAGTGGCTAAATTTGTGGATGACACAAAATTGTTCAGGGTGGTGAAAACCAGGGAGGATTGTAGTCATGTAGTCTCAGATGCCCAAACACTGTTGCTTTTTTACTTACAGAAAAGTCTAGCACAGAAAAAAATATCCGATCTCTAATCCATTGCTAAGAAATGGGGAATGTACTTCGGAATAGTACACTCTCTTCCACAAGCCTATTTTCTCTCATTTACCAGTTCCCCCCTTCTCTCCAGTTACCTTAACCATGATAAAAAGTTATATTTGTTCCAACCTTAATCACAGTGAATGCTAACCAGGCATCCTCTTTACCAGAGTTTGGAAACCAGGAATCCTAGTTATTGTAACTTTGGTCTAGATATTATGTTTAATGACAGTTAAGATAGGATTGTCAGCTCTGCCTTGGCAAGTGCTGGGAAATTTTGAGGATGGTGCTTGGGAAGGATGTGACACCACTTCCCAGTGTAGGTTTAGGATTTGCCCCTACTGTTTATAGAGACATTGGCAAATTCCTCATGTCTCATATTGTAGGTCATTTTGCCTCCTGCTCCTCAGTTTCTCCAGGGTGGGCCGTTGAGGGTGAGGATTTATCCACTATGGGCAGGCAAATGACAAGACTAGGTTAAGGCTATTGTGGGGGGAAGGCTGGTGGGAAAGTGGTGACTACCATTAACCATGGTCAGGAACCATGTTTAAGGTCAGGAAAAGAAAGCCGAGATAGATTTGCAGATAAGAGAACAAATGCTGGAGAAGGCAATATGCAATTGCCTCAGCCCTCCCCAATCTCTTACTTATGGTCAGGGCTGTAGCCAGCGGGGGACACAGAGGGCAGTGGCCCCTACTGAATCTTCACTGCCCCCACTGCTGCCTCCCCCCCCGAAAAGTACTTTGCCTTATAATCCTTCTTTCTTCTTCCTCCCATTGGTGGGGGGGGGGAAGGAAGGAATACAAGGGCTGGCATGGGCCAGCACATGGGGGGAGGGGACCTGGGGCGTGCAGCGCTACCTTGCCTTTTAATCTTGTAATCCTACCTTCTTTCCTTCTCCCGTTGTTGGGGGGGGGACAAAGGAAGAAGAAGGAAGGATTACAAGGCTTGGCGTGGGCCTGTGAGGATTAAAACCAAGGTAGTACCACACGACCTAGGCTCCCTCCTCCCCTCCAGAGAAGTACCTGGCCTTGTGGGGCTGGCCCAAAGGTATTCCTGTTACAGGAATTGCTTTGGGCAGGTGCAGCTAGTCACTAATTTAATTAGTGCCCCCCAAGAAATAAATTCCTGGCTACAGGGCTGCTCATGGTTACATCTATAGTGTGGGCCAGTGGCTGAAAGTTCTTGTGCCAATAGAATTTGCAATCCAAATGGGGTATTTGAGGGATCACCTTTGGCTGTGTCAACTGCCCCCCCCCCCTGATCTCCTGCAGAAGCTCAGTTGTGCATCTCCAAGACTCTTGAAGTAAGGTGGATGAGAACTAGGGAGAGGACCTTCTGTGCCATGACACCTTCCCTCTGACACTTGGCCCTTTGGTCTGCTATTTGTGTTCATCTGCTGACTTGGATTGGATTTACATTGGGGTTGTAACCTTTTAAAAAGATTTTTAACTGCTGGGTTTTAGGGTTTAATGTGCATTGCATAATTGTATATTGGAATTATTCATTACCTTAATTTTTATGTGCTAGCCTCCTTGAGAATATTGTGCCAGACAGTAGTGTTTTAAATTAATAAATATAAGGGTTGTTTCCTGTCTTTACCAGTATTTTTTTTCCTAGACAGAACTTGCTTCTAATATAATTCTGAAGCCTTGGGGTTTCAGGGTGTTTGACAGTTGTAATGATATCAAGAAACAATAACAAGTTGGATCCTAAGGAAAAGCTTGCAAAAAGTGTTGGTGTAACAGATCTCCCCCCCCCAGCAGCTCCACAGAATACAAAAGTCACATGGGATACCCTAGTACAGTGGTTCTTAACTTTCCTAATGCCACAACCCTTTAATACAGTTCCTCATGTTGTGGTGACCCCCAACCATAAAATTATTTTTGTTGCTATCATAAGACCATCGAAAATTTGTGTTTTCCGATGGTCTTAGGCGACCCCTGTGAAAGGGTCGTTCGACCCCCAAAGGGGTCACGACCCACAGGTTGAGAACTACTGCCCTAGTAAATAAAATGTGCTGCAATATGGTGGGTTGCTGAGAGGGTGGGATTTGGGCAAAATTCCTTCTTCTCGTGGTTCTAATATTATTATGTGTCCCATCCTGTTTACTGTATTGACTTACACTGTGCAATGTGCCTTAAGTCTCAGAGATAGAGGTGAACTATAAATAGCATCAAGAAATAAATAAATGGTGGAGTTCATTCCACTGTTGGCAGAAGGGACTCCCCCCCCCAATCCCCCAATTTCACCACAGGCCTTCATGCCACAGGTATCTCCTGACCCTCAATAAAGGATTTTTGGGACCCAAAGGGGACAGTGGGGGAAGAGCAAAGTGGAGTCAATCCAGTCTGCCAGCTCTTTTTACTAGTTTTTACAGGATCCAATCTTGCACTTTTACAGTTTTATATGAAAAAAGGGTTTGAAGCCATATCCATGTAAGCACAAATAAAGCTGTGCAAATAAGTAATACAACAATCTTTGATTTTCTTTCTCAAATAGAAGACAGTTTTAGCACACAAGTCACAAATTCTTTTGAATAATCCTGTGGATTGTGATGTTAAAATTTAAGTCGCTTGAATGTTTTCATTTCAAAATCTCATTTTGCATGCCTTTTCCTTTGCAAATTTTGTCACTAATTCCTTCAGGTCCAGTGCTGATGCTTTGGCGTGTTTATTAATTTAGCTTGCCATCTCTCAGCCACCTGTGGCTGAGGTAATTTACTGCCAGCCACAGTTGCTGAGTCCCATTGCTGACTTGTAAGTAGGGCATTCATATAGCTTTAGGGAAAGGTGTGGGAGCAGTTGCACAGTTCTTAGTGCAGAGACATATTTTTTCCCCAGTTGCACTCGGGGGTCAAATTTGAAAGCTAGTGAGAGAGAGAGAGCCGGGGGGGAGTGAGAAGCCCAGAATGGGGCCAGGAGGGAGTCTGGAGAGGGCGGGGGCTGCAGCTGGCAGGGGCTGGGCTTCAAACCACCCTCGCAGCCCCAGCTTGGCATTCACCAACCAGATTCTCCTTCCTCTTCAACCTCCGTGTGAAAAGATGGTCAGACAGAGCTCTGGAACTGTAAGCCAGGGCCGCTTTGGGAGCCCTACGAAGGGAGGCTGAGCCCCGGAGCCAGCACCAGAGTAAGGGCGGAGGAGGAGGAAGGCCACTGTGTGACACAGTGTTGGACTGGATGGGCCATTGGCCTGATCCAACATTGGCTTCTCTTATGTTCTTATGAGGGAGAAGAGGCACCCGGTACCCTCTCG